TGAAGCCACCACACAGATGCCTGAAATTCAAACTGTGAAAGCACGTGACGCAGAGGAAACTGGCACAGAACAGCATAGCACTGGTGCTTTATGCAACACCACTGACCTCAAAATGGTCACGCCATTGATTTTTCCACATTGTTTACATCCAGGATGCATGTTGTCCAGTGCAATAGCGTCTATGACTATAAAACAACTAAAAGCTGCACTTAAGATGGGAGAGCCAAACTCAGATATTTTTTCTCTTTCTCTTCAAAAATCAAAAGAACAAACCAAAAAAGATTAAAAAAGAATAAACCAACCAGTAGCTGCTGAGGATACACTGAAAGAGGAAATTCAGAACTAAGCTTTATCGGGGACGGGCACGGTGGCTCACGTCTGTAATCCCAACACTTTGGGAGGCCAAGGTGGGTGGATCACCTGACGTCAGGAGTTCGAGACCAGCCTGGCCAACATGGTGAAAACCTGTCTCTACTAAAAATACAAAAATTAGCCGGGTGTGGTGGCGCGTGCCTGTAGTCCCAGCTACTAAGGAGGCTGAGGTAGAAGAATCGCTTGAACTCAGGAGGCAGAGGTTGCAGTAAGCTGAAATCGTGCCACTGCATTCTAGCCTGGATGACAGAGCGAGACTGTCTCAAAATAATAACAACAATAATAATAACAAGCTTTATCTACCCTCGCTTGTATAGTGGTGAGGAAAAATTAAAACAAAAGAAGAAGAATTTTTAAAAAGAACTAAACTTTAGAGGTAGAAGGCTCAGAGAGAATGACTGATTAGCCCCGCAGCCTCAAAACTGGTAAAGTCAGTCCCAGTCCAATGACCTGCCCACAACTCCACACGCAAAAAGGACAGAATGAGAGAGACTGAGGGCACGAGGAACACAGAGAAAGGGAAATCAAGTCCAACAAGGTGGCAAAGACACGGACTCAATGACAATCTTTCTACCATGTTTTCTTTCAGAAACAAGGACATTTTATGTGAGGATCAAATATTCTCCCTTCAAAAATTTCTGCAATTGAAGGCTGGGTGCTGTGGCTCATGCCTGTAATCCCAGCACTTTGGGAGGCCGAGGCAGGCAGATCACCCGAGCTCAGGAGTTCAAGAACAGCCTGGCCAACATGGTGAAATCCCGTCTCTACTAAAAATACAAAAACTAGTCAGACGTGGTAGCACGCGCCTGTAGTCCCAGCTACTCGGGAGGCTGAGGCAGGAAAATCCCTTTGAACTCAAGGGGTGGAGGTTGCAGTGAGCCGAGATTGCATCACTGCACTCCGACCTGAGTGACAGAGCAAGACTCCATCAAAAATTTTTTTTTGTAATTGAAACTTAAAATGATGAGGCCTAAAGTACCTCTGGGGAAGGACACCAAATTGTAAAGTCCTGACTCAGGCCTGAACCTCCCATCCCTCTAGTAATAAATAAGTAGAAAGGAAATGCTACCTAGATTTTAACAGGGCTTTCTTCTCAGTATCTAAGCCTTCCCAATTACTTTCCTCAGATAAATTATAAGCTATTCTTCTCCCTGGAAATTTAAGTGGCAAAGTCAATGGCTATTACCCCATCCATGGGCTGTTGTTGAGGTGCAGAACTAGCCTACAGCTAACTCGAATTCTATCACCTCAGACTCACTGTGATGCCCAACCACTGGCACTGGGGTGGCCTCATGACTTACGATATCAAATGAAGTTTGTGAATCCATACTTAAGTTAGCCCACCGCCAAGGATGGACAAACTTCAGACTTGATCAAAGGGTGGAGGGAAACTCCATATTTAAAATGCCCAGTGCCTCGGTCAGCAGAACCACCTGAGTGACACCTGAGATAAACTGGTGGTAACAATGAAAAGCTGGTATTTCTCACATACAACAAGTTGAAAAACATTTATTTATTTAGAGATGGAATCTCACTCTGTCACCCTGGCTGTAGTACGGTGGCATGGTCTCAGCTCACTGCAACCTCCACCTCCCAGATTCAAGTGACTCTTCTGTCTCAGTCTCCCGAATAGCTGGGATTACAGGTGCCCGCCACTATGCCCGGCCAATTTTTTTTGTATTTTTAGTAGAGATGGGGTTTCATCATGTTGGCCAGGCTGGTCTCAAACTCCTGCCCTCAGGTGATCTGCCCACCTTAGCCTCCCAAAGTGCTGGGATTACAGGTGTGAGCCACCACGCCCGGCTGTAAAACATTTATTTTTAAAATGCCTTTAATCTTAAAAAAAAGAAAAAGAGGTTTCACAGATGTGACTAAAGCATGGAATGTTAGGTGCTTCAAGACCAAATTTTTAAAAGCTTTCTATAATGTATTTCACTTGTATGGTTACAACAATGCATATTTTAAGTGTAAGCCAAGACCCTTTCTTTCTGTTTCTGTAGACTTGGAAACTTTTGGACTTGATGGGAAAATTAAATCTCTCTCAATCTAAACACCAGTGAATGTAGACTTTCTTTTCTTCTGAGTGCTTTTTCCTATCGAATTCAAAGTACCAACTATTCAATTTTCCCTATTTTCTAAGCCTTCATAGAACAACTATTTACTAAAACCCAACCAACCTATAACATCATCCATCTCCTTTATTAGTTATTTCTTTATAATATGCTCTTAGAATTGTCATCTACTGCTGAAGAAATCTTTATTGGAATTGAAGGGAAACAGTTAAATCAGATTTACAACATGATAAACTATGAGGTTGCCATTTTTATATAGATCTTTTACAGAATAAATGTAGTCTAACTGGGCTCTAATGAAATATGTAAGCTTTTCTAATAATTTCTATTAAAATGAAAAGCTATATTCTCTTAGAATTTTTTTTTTTTTTGAGAGACAGGTTCTCGCTCTGTCACCCAGGCTGGAGTACAGTGGTGTGATCACAGCTCACTGCAGCCTTGTCCTCCCTGGGCTCAGGTGATCCTCCTGCCTCAGTCTCCTGAGTAGCTGGGATTACAGGTGTGCACCACCACGCCTGGCCCAAATTTTTAAATTTTTTTTTTTGTAGAGACGAGTCTTCATTACCCAGGTTGATCTCAAAACTGTGGCCTCAAGCGATCCTTCCGCCTCTGACCAGTTTACTGAGCTATTTAGATGTCCTAACTACTAGGAATTATATACCTTTAAATAAAGTGAGGAAAAAGAACAGCACTATTCAAATGGTGTATTCTTTTTACTCTCAGCCACCAATCAGGGTCCTTTTCTCCCACTGCCTAGAATTCCTGCGTCCTGCACTAGAAGCGTCTACGGGCCCTGCTCTCTGCTCTTTTGAGTATTTAACATGCTTTACGGAACTGGGGTGCAGCTCAGTGACTGTGATTCTTTGGTTCAAACACTTAATTGGTGCTTCATCCTTGATTTTTTCTGTATGTTAAACTAGTCAGCAAATACTCAAGGTCTACTATGTGCTTTAAATGATACTAACATTTCCGTTTAGAAGGTTCTGTGCATTACAGAATATCTGTAACGGAGACAGTCCTTTTCCCCTTTCTCAATCTTCACATGTATTGATTCCTTCAGATTTCAACAGAGATAACCAATAAATGTGGCAGACATTCTCACAACACCCTAAGTCATTATGACGGTCGTTTATTTACCCTTTTACAATGCTTCTGTTACTTTATAAAGAAAACTATTTAGAAAGACAAATTTATATAGTTAATTCTTTAGTTTTCAAATGTCTCTTCACCAGAAGATTTAATTTTCCTCTTATGTGACTTGACCATTAGCATTCCACAAACAATTTATCCTGGAACTCATTTATGTTGATGGTGAATATCTGTAACCATCCTAAATTTACTGCATTAATATTTTACTTTCTAATCACTTTTAGGCTTTAATTTGAAGGTTTCATCTTTCCAGTATTGATATTTTAAAAAGTTTTGATGTCTCAAAAATTACCTAGACATAACATAAAGGGGAACACACCTAATAATCTACAGCTTTTGATGTTGGGAACAGAAAAACCTGCATCACAGACTTCCAGCAGTTCTTGGCTCCTATAAACGGCCTTTCTTGAGGGATTACTGACTTCAGCTGCTTAGTTAAATCTACACATCCTCAGAAGAAAACTCTTCTTAAAAGTAAATGTCCTCTACCATGTCTTTACATAGCCAAAGCTATCTACGTCAATTTCATTCTTTCAGCGTCATGGAGGTTCCTTATAAATACCTGTATGTCAAGTTTTGACTTTAAAAAGCATCTAACTTATAAATATTAAATGGCTTTCAGTGAAAAGACAGAGGTATTAAACATCAGTAATTTCAATATACTAGGATGCTTTTCTCATTCCTTAGAGCTTTGGAGAGATGTACAGATATGAACTCACCTTTCTATTAAAAACAAAAGTGGTGCTACCAGAAAAATGTTTGGAGTTTGGAAGTGAATGATAATGTCTTCAGGAAAGTGAATTTTATGATGGCTACATAGAGGAATTAAGAGCTCCTACAGAGTTCCTTTGCGATGTTTGCTTTATACAGTTACTTTTACGCTGCTTATAATCGGTATAATTTAAAGGGTAATGGTGTTAAAAAGTTACAATGGCTACACAGGAATTAAAGAGACCCTGTAGCATACCTTTGCACACTGTGCTTCATAGGGTAACACTTCTTAGAATTAAAAGGCCAATTCTTCATAATGGCACTGAAAGTATATATAAATTTACAAGAGACATAAAAGTTGTAGCTAGGCAAATCTAAAAGGTCAGCATGTTACTTAACTCATTTTTGAATGAGAAGTGACTTTTAATTTGTAGACAAAAATTCTGACTTACATACGAAGAGAACAAGAACATGAGACAGGATAGAGCAAAAAAGAAAAAAAAAATCAGCTGAAAATTTAACAACTGTCAACTCTGTAATGGCTGCAAATGTTAATGAATGTTGGGAACATGTGGTCCATGATAAGTGGAGAAGAGAATGGAGGCGGCTGAAAGGGGGAAAATTTGGGTCTGGTCAAAGAAAATAATACAAGGACTGTAATTTTGTATTTCTAAAGAAGACATCAGAATTATAAAATGGAACTCAAAATTAATACTTTATAATAGAGAAGAAGTACTACTGTTTATATGTAGGTTTTAAGAAATCAGCATCATGTATAAACATCATACACATTTTGCTATAAAGTTCAATACTCGATAATGCCCTTTACCACACAATGTCCTTTACCATGCAAACTATATAAAGGAAAATTCTAACTGCACGAATGAGTTTTAAGTATCTGAATGTGTTGCAGAACAAAATGGAATAAAAATTAAACACTTACTATCAACTTGACTGTAAGAAGAAGTTACTGTGTCAAGGTGGGCAAAGAGAAAATAAGAACAGGGAATGCCCAACAGTCATTTCAAACAAAAAGTAGACACATCATCACGTATTTCTTTTGTATACATTACTTAGTATTCACGACTTCTATGAAATCTTTAAAGAGTAGTAACGTGACATGTAAACTTTTAAGTAGTAAAGTCTTGGACTTTAAAAGGTGTTTTTCACATCCAATGTAACTTACTTTAAAACAAATTATTTCAGAAGATTATCTAAGTGTCACAAACAAGCAACACATATATACTGCAATTTTATTTCAATCGCACAAACGAAGTTAGCGTGTAGGAAATTGAAGTGAAACAAATTTAAACGAAATAGTTACGGTAAAAATAGAAAACTGAAAATTCTAAGCAGGAAGTACACCTAAAAAGCATGAGAATTCAACATTCATTAGTGTTTCATCTTCAGTTTTGATTGACACTTGATGCTTGCAAATTTTTAAACAAACTTTTAAATCATGATGACTATTCTGAAGAGATTTCAGCACCAGCACTAAGATTTGTACATTCAGTTTGTTTGCAATTGACTTGTGAGCCATTTACATAGTGGATAGTACAGATTTGTCACAGGTCAGATCACAGTGTTGAGGAAAGCAGTACCTTCCTGTCATGAGAAAGGATCCCCTAAACTGTACTCAGCTTAAGACATCCAATGTACAAGAGCACAAAAACCATCATAATAATGTGGTTCCAGGAACATAGTTTTGATAAGGTAAAGAACTTAGGCTTCTGTTTCCCACTGTAATTACTGAAATCTCTAATAATGACACAACTGTCATGTATGTGACAGCAAATTATATAATAATTCATTCAGACTTCTTGGAAAGAACACATTTAGCAATCTGGGATGATGGAAAATATAGTGTGATTCAACACTGGTTTTTTTTTTCTTTTGTCATTTTACACAGACATCATGTTAATATTAGACCAAGGCACAAAACGTTTAGTGCATAAACCCAGTTTCTTTTAAGATTTAGCATTTTATTTTAGTCTCTTATCTTAGTTTGGACCACTTGTACCCAGTACTCTACCTACTATAGACTATTTAACTTACCCAACAAAATCAAAAGAGGTTTCTGACCAGATTTATAGGGGACATAACTGTTTATATTATCAAAGTGTTTGCATAACCAAAAGTACAATAATAAAGATGAAAATGCCTCCTATTTCTTTTAGAAAATACGTCATAAGCTTGCTGCATCTTTGATGTTTTTACTACTACTGCATGACAATGAATATCTGATAGAAAAAAGAAATGTATACTTGAATTATGATAGCTCATCCATCACAGTTTAATCTAAAAGTGAAATTTCTACAGAAATAGGAACTATTTTAACAAAGAAAAAAAACCCCTCATCCAAACTTCTTTGTAGTGGTAAATGCTGCAAATTTGCAGCATTTAGAAAACTACACTATCAACAAGCTCTGCTTTATGGACAGAGATGTACAAAATCTAGAAAGCAGATGAAAGTGAATTATTTCAAAATTTTAGTAAAACTTCTGATAATCAGAGTTCAAAGCAAATATGGCACATAACAACTCAAGCATAAATCAAGATGGAGAGCCTGGAGAGTTTGATTTCTTAAATTTTCCAAAAAGCTATCATTGCAACATACAGGATTTCTCCCTTATTTTAACCTTGCCAGTTTCAAAGGAAAGAAAAGTGGCTTCCATATGGACAGCATGTGCGCGAGGGCACACACACACAGGGTGGCAGGCAGAGAGTCTAATTCCTTCTTCCCACCACCCTCAAGTCTCACTTTACTTATTAAAAGAAAACTGCAGAACTCCTTGTTGGTTTTCCTTTACCTAATGATTTCTGTGACCTTAATTGCTGCCATCATTGTTATTTCTTGCATTTCAACATAACAAAATTCAAAAGCAGCTTCATTCAGGAGCATGTATCTAAACACCTGTGTAACAGCAGGGGACCTAGGTAATAATAACTGCCAAATTCAGTGATCAAACTTTTGAGTTCCACAGTAAGATATTATGTGAAGCTCTGAATCATGTTTCAGACCATTGAAATTACTGGTTAAAATACAAATAGCTGAAGACATGATGTAAAAGATTAAGTACTTGGTTTTGTAACATATTTACCAATTAAAGTCACAAAATATTCCTCATTATTATTCATGCAGGTAACTGAGAAAAAGATAGTGCAGAAATCAAGTTCAAATAAAAAATTATTCCTCCCCTTCCTCCCACTCCCCTATACTCTACAAAATGTTTTCCCTGGGACTAGGCCTTGAAAAGGCCACTACATATTAGTGTGACATGCATTACTGTCTGCAATTAAAAAAGCTAACTTTGTGGTGATTGTAATTACATTATAAAAATGTCCACATGCATAAATCTAAAAAAGGTTGAAAACCTACAGTAAATCTACAATATAGTGTTTACATTTGACCACTGGTTTGTGTTATGTAGAAGTCATAGATTTGGTAAAGCATTGTAACAATTTAGGAAGGCATCTAAATCTTTAAATTCTGGACAAATTTTATGTTTTAATCTACAAAATTGCATGAAGGCTAACTTGAGAGACTTCCTATCATTCTAAAATTCCTCAAGCTGAAGATATCATTTTTCGGACACTTTCTTATAAATATTACCCTTTGAAAGCACTTACAATTCCATTTGTTCCACTTATTATGATCTTAACTTACATAGGCCTGATCTCAATTATTCATGGAATATCAAACATGATAGGAAGAACAAACCTGAGAGAAACATTACAATACAATAGCAAACTTGCTCAATTCTTTACCAGCACTCTCTGCAAAAAAACTTCCTAAGCCTTTCTCCTCTTTATTTTAGCAATGTATTGTGGAAAATGTGCAATTTTATCTTGACATGAAAATATTTCAATGCACGGTGATTTTGCCTGATGGGTTTTAGTATTTTCTGCATAACTGTTACAGGAACTCTTATATGATTCTCTTCCATTCTGTTGTAAAGGCCAGAAAAAAGCAGCAAACGGAGAGGGAAAGAGCTTATCGCCAGAGTCATAATGTTTGAAGGCTTTCAGAGTAGGTTGGTTTTTCCCTCCTTCTGTTTGTCTCCATTTTCTTCTTACAGCTCATAAAATGTAGGGGTTTGCTGTTGTGAACAGTTGTTGTTTGTAGGATTTTTTTTCCTTCAGATTAAAGTCCTATCTCTCCTTAGTCTGTTCCTCTATGCAGTATTTGACTTGCTCAGTTCCTGCCTGATTGCTGGATGGAAAAGAAGAAGTATTGAAAATAAATATAATGGTAAAGTAAGATAAATGAGTGGCTCATTCTTAAGAAACTTTAAGGATTGTGCTCAAACTCACAGTAATAAAAAGATTAACTTTGCATCTTTCATTGCACACATCTTTAATATTAGAAAGATGATACTAATTTCTATATATTTTCTCCTTTTGTATACAAAATGAAAACACTGAGTATGTGGGCTCAAAAAGAAGAGGGCACTGGGATAGGTGAGCAGGGGTAACCTAGAGAAAGATCTGTTCATGTGGATTTCCATCTAAGACAAGACAACATCTGAATTGAGGGATTTTGTTTAATCCCTATTTATAAAAATAATTTCCATTACATGAAGGAGAAACCTCCTCCCCAAAACCCTAATCCTAAAAGGGCAGGACTATGGAAGTCATTGCCCTCAAGTAATCAACTGGGCATTTCCTTATTTGCATTTACTTAAAAATGGTGAATCTTAAACATTGTTTATAGGAATAGGAATAGTAAATTTGTCCAGATACTTACCATCAATGAGCTCTTCTTTTAGCTTTGTTAACTCCTTTCTCATTTCATCTAAAATGTCCTAAAATATTAGAGAAAAATATCAGAAATACAGGAAAAAAAATACTGCTAAAAAGATTCTTACTCATATAAAATTTTAAGAATGTCATGAAGTATGATGTGTAGTTTTTTTTTTTGTTTCCAGAGCCACAATTCTATTTCTTGGAAGCCTTGGTAAATTTTGTTTTAATATTCTTCCCTTCCCAATCCTGGCTTATTCTAGCCTAGCAATATGTGAAATAGAATGCTTCCTAAAATTAAGATAATTACTCTGTCATCCAGTGAAAGGTATGATTCAGATAGTTTCTAGAAATGATAACAGCTGTGCTTTCAATCTAGTCCTCTGGGAACAATCTCAGAGGTGATGCAAAGGAAGTTTAGAGGATGAAGATATCACAATAAACTGGACAATCAGCTCTTGGCAAATCTGTTCTTTTGTTTGAAGTATGGAGATTTCTTAGGAATCACCATAGCTGCCAAACCATATTTCAAGGAGTCTAGGATTTCTCTGAAGGGAACTCAGAGATTGCCCTAATGGGTAGGCAGGAAGGTGGGCGAGGCCCTGGTTGACCCATGCTGTTCAATACGGCAGGCACCAGCCATGTGCAGCTGCTGAAATGAGGCTAATGTGAAATGAGATGTGCTGTAAGTGTAAAACACACACCAGATTTCTCAGATTTAATATGATGAAAATAATGTAAAATAACTCGTTAGTAATTTATAAAAATTGACTACATATTAAAACATACTTTAAATACATTATTACGTTTTTAAATTAATGTTGTCCTTTTGTTTTGTATTTTTAAAATGCGGCTACTAGAAAAAATTTAAAATATATACATAGCCCACATTATACTTCTATTAACTGTGGTGCTCTGGGCCCTCCTTCAAGAACTGCAGATTTGGCCGGGTGCGGTGGCTCACGCCTGTAATCCCAGCACTTTGGGAGGCTGAGGCAGACGGATCACTTGAGGCTGGGAAATTTGAGACCAGCCTGGCCAACATGGTAAAACCCTGTCTCTACAAAAACTACAAAAGTTAGCCGGGCGTGGTGGTGCACACCTGTAATCCCAGCTACTTGGGAGGCTGAGGCAGGAGAATCGCTTGAACCCGGGAGGCAGAGGCTGCAGTGAGCCAGGATCGCACCACTGCACTTCAGCCTGGGCGGTAGAGTGGGACTCTGTCTCAAAAACAAAAAACAAACAAAACCCCCCCTGCAGATTCAAGACTAGAGGTCCTATGACAAAGTGACACAATTTTAGTGGGTGAAAAGTAACAGCTGTCCTTTGGAAGGATTAGTTTTGAATTGTGTGATTTTAACACTGAATACCCCAGGAAAAATTAAATTGCTCTGTTAAAGTTTACCTTTTGAAAAGCTTCTCATGTTTAAAATAAAACTATCAATTAAAGTCTTCATTTTAACAATGGAAAAGACTGGAGACACAGAAGTTATTAAATAAACTCACAGATATCCTGATCCAAATTACTCTTTACATCTCATCCCCCAAATCAAATCTATTCCTCTGTTATCCTCCAATTCTTCAGAAAACCAAGAATTGACCATGTTTTGAAGTATGTGGAAGTGCTCTATTTTAAAATATTTTTCAAGAAAGCCACATTCAATACAGAGCAAAACAAGGGCTTGATTTTCAATGACCACACGTTCCCCTTTAAGATCATATAACTGAATTTAACTTTTCAAATAGCTTTGCAGTATGAAAATTCAGTTTATCTAAAAAATGTATTTCACCTCTTCTGTGACTAAGGTATTTTAAATCACAAGCCTATCACTTACTACTTCTTCCTGAGTACACAGGTATTAAATATAATGCATATGTACCCAAATGTGGACAGTATCTTTTTTTATATAAAATTGAGATAACTGTACACATCTGTTTTGTTACCTAACATAGGCAAGTATTCACAATTTACTATTAAGCATACTAAATTATGATCCCTTGAAGCCTACAGAGCCTCTACTCTACCCACTATAGCTTTGCATACTTCCACAATATTTTCTTTGAATAAATTCCTGGAATTCATATCACTGAGTTCAAGGTAAGACATTTATTTTTCAGGCTTTTGATTTTGTTTTTCCAAACTGCTTTTTAGAAAGCTGACGTATAGAAGAGTGCCTATTTCCTCGCACTCTTGCCAAAATCAGATTTGTTGCGTTCGATTTTGCCAATACAGTAACTGAAAAGCAAAAGCCCCATTGTTTTCTTTACAACTGCATACCATGCACTTACATTTAAACCTTATGCTGTTATCACTGAACCACAGCCCCACCCTCCACTACCTCTGGAACTTCATGCAAACTCAATGAACTGGAAGTGTAGATTTGAAAAAATACAGTACTACTAATGCCATTGTTTAATTTGTATAACAATAGCTCTATGGTTTTTCTAAGTACATTCAGGATCCATGTCAAAGATATGCATATGAGATATTTTTTAAAAAGAAACAAGTACAAATAAAGCTGCCACTGAGCGCCCACCTGCTTCAGCCTGTCATAGTCAAGTCCTTCCGTCTGGACTCCATTGGCACTGGGCTGTGATAAGGGTGTGGATTTTGGTCTGCATAAATGAAATTTCCAGGACAGGTAAACAACATTCTTAACACTTAATGAGTTCATAAATAATTGCAAATTTGCCAACCCAACACCAGATTTAAATACATTTCTTTAAAATAGCCATTTTGTTAAAAATTATCAAAATTGTAGGGCTGATTAGGACATAAAACAAAATTTTTTCACTTTTCTCAGTATTTCTTATTTATAAAGGAACTAAAAAAGGTGACAAGATGGTAAGACTTCTTCAGAAAAGAGTAGACGATGGTATTCTTTGGGCATGAGGTAACCAGATAACGTGGCATGTTGACCAAGACAGTGATGAAGAGGCCAGCTGGAACATCTGAGGCTCAAATAACACAATCTTGTTTTGTCTTTCTTTTGAACTTTTACATTATCTACTTAAATACCTGGGCAAACCAGTGAAAGGAGAAACATAAAGACTTGAATGTTTTACACTAACATAAATCAGCTTACAAAGTTGATGCCTTGGATTGCAGGAAGAAAACATTTTTAGTGAGCATGATTTGCTTTACACATATTATTCCATTTCAAGCATCAAAAAAATGTTTTAAAAATGTTTATTAGATTAGACTATGTGACTATTTCCTTGTGAAAATTTTATGGAGACGTCATTTGAATGTTGTGTTTCAGGCTAACTACTTCCACACATTTATTTTATTAAATAAAAAGGAAATGCCAAACACAAGCAGATTGTCAATTATTACTGCACTTTCAAAAGTTTAGTTTCTATTATAATTCTTAATAAGTCAATGATTAGGTATATTTTAAACAAGTTTCAGCACCAAATAAACCAGTCATGGTGCCCTCTCCAATTGTGGCAATAAAAGAATCCTCAGCGGAAAACCTAGAGTTTTAATTGGGCACGCCTCTGGGTTCTGGTTTAGTCTAGTACGAGCCACGAATAAATGCAACTTAAAACCATCAGGCAAATCATATATTCCCAATTTTGCAGAGTACCAACGTTAGCAATCTGAAGCAAGACCCAAAAGGCGTAACAAATTTTTCCAAGTTATAATTTTATAACTCTTATAAGACATAAAATACTTTAAACCCATAGGCATGGTTCCTGAAGATTAAACACTGAGTTAATCTTTTTGTTGTTGTTGTTGCTGCTGTTTATGAGATGCAGTCTTGCTCTGTCTCCCAGGCTGGACTGCAGTGGTGCGATCTCGGCTCACTGCAGCCTCTGCCTCCTGGGTTCAAGTGATTCTCCTGCCTCAGCCTCCGGAGTAGCTGGGATTACAGGTGCGCCACAAGGACTGGCTAATTTTTTTTTTGTATTTTGAGTAGAGACGGGGTTTCACCATGTTGGCCAGGCTGGTCTCGAACTCCTGACTTCATAATTTGTCTGCTTCAGCCTCCCAAATTGCTGGGTGTAGGTGTGAGCCACCATGCCCGGCCTATTAATCTGCTCTACTATCAAAATATATTACTGCTTAAAAGACTGTTAGGAAGCAAGTCGTCCAATTTTACCTTATTAGGTATCTGCTTATATGAATGGGGGGAAATAATAACTTTCAGAAAACTTCATTCAATACGCACTGAGCTAGGCACTGTAGGGAATAAGATTTATATGAAATATTTCCTTTCCCCTTGTGAGGCTACACCTTCTTACTTTGCTAGGGAAGACTACTAAATTCCAAGGTCACTTAAGATTTACTGAGATCCATAAAATGCAAGTCATGGTGCCCTATGCAGAGTCACGTGTGACAAACAGTCTTACAGTTTAGGACACCATCATTTCATATACTCACTCATGCTACCTATTCCTGTTCTCTAGAATTAAACTATAATTCATACTCTGCTTTTCTTTTACATTTCTCATTTAAGTGGTCCATTTAGCTAGTTATTTTCTCAAGTTATATAATGAATACCTCTGAAATTCACATGAACAACTACAGTCTGCTATTTAATCGGGCAAGTATGTTACGAATATATCCATATTTACTAGGCAATGTAAAAAATTATTGTCATGTAATAAAAACAATTGTGGAGACATGCAAATTTTTAAAAATTTAATTCATGCTAACATGCAATCCATCACCACCACCACCATGATAATTAACTAAAGGGGGGAACTTTTCATACTGAAGGAAAGATGTAATCACCACTTTTTTTCTTAACTTTTACCAAAAAAGTTTATCAGTAACATTATCCCAGGGGGTACTATGTGTGAAAGCGGCAAGATAACTGAGCAGATTTACTACATTAAAAAAATATATATATTTTTGAACACAGGGTCTCATTCTGTCACCAGGCTGCAGTGCAGTGGCATGATCTCAGCTCACTGCAGCCTTGACCTCCTGGGCTCAAGCCTTCTTCCCACCTCAGCCTCCCACAGGCACATGCAACCATGCCCAGCTAATTTTTGTATGTTTTATAGAGACAGGGTTTAACCACATTGCCTAGGCTAGTCTCAAGCTCCTGGACTCAAGTGATCCTCCTGCCTAGGCCTCCCAAAGAGCTGGGATTATAGGCATGAGCTATGGTACCCAGCCTTAAAAATTTCATTGTTAAATGCTATTTTTCTATGTACTAGCAAATTTTCTAAAGAAATCTTTTGGCCAAAACAAACCACCGCAAAAAAAAAAAAAAAAAAAAAAAAAAAAAAAAAAAAAAAAAAAAAACAGCCTTAAAAATTTACTGTTAAACGCTATTTTTCTATGTACTAGCAAATTTTCTAAAGAAATCTTTTTGGCCAAAAATAAATCAATTCAAAAAAAAAAAAAAAAAAAAAAAAAAAAAGCAGAAAAAACTATTTCACTAGTGGAATATAAACATTTTGTGAAGATTTAACAGGCTGACAAAATTAACTTGTTAAGTAGTTCGATCATTAATAGCATAAAAATAATTTTAGCAAGTAAGAATTTGGCCAGAGTCTGCTTACTGAACTCCCAACTCACTGTGATACACATCCACTATGAACAGCATTTAATTAATATTCCCAGTGGACCTGATGTATATTTAAAAAAAAAAAAAAAGATGTATAAAATAACATAAATATATTTCAGTTATTTCTAACCTATGGGTTTTCATCATAATTGATCACAAAATGAGGGTTTCTCAGGTTTTTATTTTACCTTTTTTTTTTTTTTTTTTTAAAAGGGGGGGTTTCTTTTGTCACCCAGGCTAGGGTGCAGTGCTGTGATCATGCCTCACTGCAGCCTCTTAACTCCTATGCACAAGATATCTTCCTGTCTTAGCCTCCTGAGTAGCTGGGACTATAGGCACAAGCCACCAGGCCCAGCTAGTTTTTTCATTTTTTGTAAAGATGGGGTCTCGCTAAGTTTCCCAAGCTGGTCTTGAACTCCTGGCCCCAAATGATCATCCAGCCTTGGCTTCCCAAGGTGCCAAAACTATAGGTGTGAACCACCGTGCTGGGCCAGTTTTTATTATTTTATGATGAGAGTGTTGCCTTTAAACATCTGCCTATAAAATGTACTACTATATTTAAGTCCCTATTCTGCCACATTAATTGTGTAAGTAACTGAAAAGCATTTGAGGATTTTTTTTAGCTGTCAATTTTTTTAATTAAGAAAAAACTAGTTCATATCTTAAGTGTTCTTAATTAAAAAATGGTATAATAGGGCTCATCTAGAAAACAATCTACTCAGGGTGTTAGATGTTAAATTGTCCAAGATAATTTACTACAAAGTATCTAGGAAACAGAGATTTTCCTCAAAGAAACCACAACCGTGGCTTTAATATTAGCCCATGTTCTAGTAACAGATGGAAAAGGATCTTCTATCTACTTTTTTGAAACCTTGTCTTATAATCATAAGGCAAACAGCCTTTAAAAGAAAATGCTTAAGCTACAAATGGCCTAGATAATATATGTGGCCTTAGATTCCCAGTCTAGTATTTTGAATATGTTTACCATTTGTATTTATCCTAATCCAACTGTGAAGTGATGGCAGAATTTTTAAAAGGTATTCAAAATAAAGAAAAAAAAATCTCCCTTGTGGTGATTACCAATCCAGGTAGAAAAAGCTCAGCCCTATCCTGAACATGTTATTTAAAAGTCTCAAATCACAACGTCACAGCAGGATGATACCTGTGTAATGAATCATAGGACCTGTTGTCAAAAACAATCTGATTTTTCCTTGGAGAATCCCGTCTATGAAGGGGAAAACCATTGAAAGGGATACACAATAGAACTTTAAAAAATAATTCTCATTATGTTACTGTTTTATAGGTTGTTAATAGCAAACCAAACAATAATTGAGTCTATTAACCTTAAAATAACCAATTTTTCCCCAATAAAAAAGATATTTTAAAACTACTTTTAGTTATGTGAAGATACCAGTTACAGAAAATTTTAAAAATCATTACACAATGGCTACTTTTTATAGGTTGTTAGGCACAGTAAGTATATAAAAGTATAAAAAACTAACTCTTCTCAGGAGGCATGTAAAGGACTAGTTTTCCCATCTTGAATACAAGATCTGTCAGGTCTTAATAATCACAGATGAATGCACCAACCTTCCAAATGTTATAATCCAGTCATAGTTTGAAGCATTTTTAACCAAACATTCTTGCTTTTACTCTTAACAAATACAGCAATATGCAATATCTCATGTATATTATGGGATATTAATCCATCTTACCACTAACATAATTTTGACAAAGTTATTCCAAAGATAAATGGGCACCTTCACTACAATGCAAGGATAAGACATACTTAAAGCAGCTAATATACCTGCTTTCCGAAGAAATGGGGAGATAACTTAGGAAGAAAAGCAATATAGTTCTTACTCTTTTCAACGTATTTTTAAAATCCTTTATGGTTTAAAACAGCTTTTGTGAAATTTTAAAACCTACATACCAGTAGTTGGATCAAATCTATCAAAAGATATATGAGTGGTCAGGAAATAATCAGGGTTTCAGAATTTCTATTTTGGGAAACGGGAGGAAAACCACCTAACAGAATTGGAACATGATTATGGTGCACCAATAGATACTAAGAATCAAGATTCAACTCATTTATATAAAATTATTCTCAAAATGGTGACCTTTAGAGCACTTACTAAATTTCCAAGTCTGGAAAAAAAAAAAAAAGTCTTTTTTTTCCCTACTCTGGAATTAGGAAAAATAAAAAAATCTTTCAAAGAACAACTTTTCCTTTACTAAATGGACCAAATACATCAAAGAACGTATTCCATTTGGAGAACCTCATCCATGTCCATTCTAAGACATGACTTCTGCCATCAACATAGGCTTAGCTTTATTTAGTTCACTATGGAATGCAGATCAACGAAGCAAGATGAAGAGAAAGGACAAATGACACGTGACAGGTCTGCAGACTGGAGTGCAATAGCGCGATATCAGCTCACTGCAACCTCCGTCTCCCAGGTTCAAGTGATTCTCGTGTCTCAGCCTCCCAAGTAGCTTGGATTGCAGGCGTGTGCCACCACGCCCAGTTAATTTTGGTATTTTTAGTAGAGATGGGGTTTCATCATGTTAGCCAAGCTGGTCTCGAATTCGTGACCTCAAGTGATCCACCCACCTCAGCCTCCCAAAGTGCTGGGATTACAGGCATGAGCCACCACGCCTGGCCAGCCCCTTGTTATGGGCTTGATAAATCAGCACTTCATAATGTGGTACTGAAGAAAATCCATAACCGGTAGAGATATGTTAGAAGGCCATCTCAGTTAGGAGTCTGAGAAACACAAATGTGCAATTTTTCTACTCTACTGAAAACATATGTACACCAAACGCAATTCCCCTCTTTCTTCTGAAGTAAAATATGATCATCTTTCAATCACTTAGAAACTAAAAGCTTTTATACATTCCAAAAAGTCTAGTTTCTTTGTGGAGCTTAAACAATTGTGTCATTACCAAATCTTCTTTCCGACTAGCAGAAAGCACCACATAGAAAGCCAAATCCAAATTCAGACTTAGACTAACACAGAACAGGTCTACAAGTCTATCCTTGTACTTCTCTTTATTAGATTTCTATAATTAGAGTCAAGTTGCTTTTTACAAGACAAAAATAAGGCAAATAGCTCAGAAAGAAAAGACAAAATACCTTTTAGTTTCTAAATACATACTTTTTTTTTTTTTTTCTGGGAAAAATACGAGTCCTTTAAACTTTATACAAGTCTCATAAACCAAGAAAAGGTTTCATCTGTGTTCAGGAGCTGTGATATAAATTTAGTCATGAAAATAAAGTATGCCTAGCTAAAGGAAGAACAAATTTGCCTAAACATGCCCACATGTACTTGTAGAAACAAGTATTAGCTAGCCTTGTTTCTGGACACTATCTTTTCTAACTTGATTACACTTACACGTTTCAAATGAGATAGGGAAACACATGTTTCTATTTTACAAATTCAAAGATGTAGGTTTCATTTTGCTCTTTTCTCTCCAGCTGATTTTCAGGTTTAAAAAAGGCTCCAAAAGTTATATATATATACACTATGTCATTGGGACTAATGGGGAAATGTGACTATATACTATATTAGATAATATAATTGTTCAATGTTAAATTTCTTGAGAGTAATAATGGTGTTCTGGTTACAAAGCAGATGTCCTGGTTCTTCCAAAAAACACTGAAGTATTTAGGGTGAAACACTTCTTATTTGTGAACTGCTTTCAAACTAATCAGAGAGGAAAAAAGTGTGGATATGTAGATAGTTAAGACAAGTGGGGCAAAATGTTGACAACTGTTAAACCTAGGAAATGGGTATACACATATTCACTGTACTATCCTTTTAATTTTTCTGTAGTTTTGAATTTTTCAAAATACAAACAGGGAAAGACAAAGCTATCTTAAAATCTCAGATCATCTGGTTAATAAATGTAGGGTAGAATTTATCAATCACTAGTAATGTAGATGAGTAATATATAATGAGGCTTGGTGGTTGTCCAATACTAGGAGGATCATGAGAGTTTTATGGACTCCTTGTATAATTTCTTACCATTCAATTTTTTTCTACACTAAGAATGCACTAATTTCTTTTTTTATACGAATAAAATATAAAACTTAAGAGAAAAAAGTTGATACCTGGAGATAACAGGTGACTTGCTGCCATTCATTGTATTTGTTCTTTCCCAAGGTTTTCTTGTTGGTTCTTTAAAAACAAAGAACAGAAGTTATTAAATATACGTTTCCAGAGTTATTATAAAACAAAAAACAAAATACTAAATTTCATTATACCTGTTTACATAGCAGTAATATAAATAAAAATTTAAATTCTAAACTTTAGTTGAAATCTGTAAGGATTCTAATTTGCACAATGCCAGACCTCAAAATGAGAAGAAATTATAAACCAGTACGGGAAGTTTCCAAGGAAAAACTTACATTGTTAAGTCTAAAATATTATAATTCTATAAACTGGATGGTAAGGAGTTTCTCTAATAAAGAAAGGATAGTAAGAATAAAGTAGGATAATTTTAAAATTAGGATAGTTCAATTAATTAAAATGGAGTAGTATTATTGACATTGTTTTAAATTACTTTTAGCGCCAATGATAAAAACAATAAGTATAACTTATAATATGTTCATGTATTTCAACAATTAATCTAAATCCAAATAGTCCCTCTTAGGAAGAAAAAAACAGAAGCAACTCAAATTAAATTCCAGAATCCTGAAATTCTACTATACTTCCTTGATTCTTAAACAATGAATTATTGGGACTTAGCCGATAATTCCAGTTAAATATAAACAAGTTCGCTCTAAGCTCTTATTACAAAAGACACTATGTAGTCAGTGACTCACTAGCTGGCTGTCTATTGTGCTTGAATTGTTTTTCTAATCTGGGCTGACTCACTGATGCTGTCACTGGCCTCACTACATGACTGGGTAAAATCAGAAGTGGAATCTTGTCATGGAGGAAAGAATTTGGGCCACATGAGAATGAAGTCTATTCATGAGTTGTGATCTCATTGTGTAGTTTTAACTAAAACTGCTCTGAGTTCCAATTCAGCTCCTCAACTGGCTTCTGCACATTCTCAGGTAGCTTATGGTCTCTTCAAAGTACACTTACGCAAAAATAAACTCACACTCTTCCATGAAGCCCTGCTTTTGGTTCTGGATTTCTGTTGCATGCAGGCATTAGGTGTGAAACCTTAAAGTCATTATTGATCTTGCTTTACTCCTCATCAACCAAATTCCTTCTTTTTTATATTCCTTCTTTTGTATTCTAACAGCTAACACAGTCTCTCAACGACTGCCACAGTGGTAGCAAGTTCCACACATGACCAGGAAGATCAAATTGGATGGGGTTTGGGACAGGCAGAATCAGAAACATATCCAACTGACACCAGTCCAAGCAGGTGAAAAGAGGGAAGTCCTGAATGAAACTGAGGGACACCTGGACAGGGAGGGGAACGGTCATCGGACACTGTCACTAAAGAGGTGGCAGGTGGAAGGATGAGGGAGTAATTCCAAAGTGGATAAGAAATAGCAAGTGCTACCTTTTAACAGCTGGCTGAGGTCCTTTCCCAGTCAGCCAAACCAGAACCATCTTTTAGTCTTAAAGGTCATCTGGTTGTGAGAAAGAGCTGTTCAGCTGGCTCTGCGGAAGCTGAGAAGCAAGGACCTCTTCTCTCTAAGGAGCTCAGCTGTGTTTCAGGAGGGGCAAGGGCTGGGTTCCCTTCAGAGGATCTTTACTGGCATGCGTATAGAGCTTCCTAATTGGTCTGTCTATCTTAATCCTCCCTAGTTTTAATGGGAAAACCACAAGTGCCATTTTAATGGGCCTCAGTTTCAGTGGATTAAATGTCCACTGAACTCAGTACTTGCAGGATAAAGTCTAAACTCTTGATAATTTTATAAAAGGCTCTCAACATTTTTGCTTCTAACTCGTATTTCCAAACTTTCCCCCACAATACTCCTCAAAAAGAATTCCCTGTTCTAGTCTATTTCCTATTTCTTAATCTCTTCTTGCTCATCTCCAACTCCATACCTTTGCTCAAGCTATACTTACATTCTGAAATATCACACCTTCCCTCACTTTCAGCCAAACTAAATACTCTTCAAGGCATACTAAGATATCACTTTTCTCTACAAAGGTGACTCAGGTGACTCGTATGTGTCATCTCCTCCCTCTTTGACAGACATTACTTAGTATTCAACATGTGGTTGTAAAAGGTTAACTTTACACCTGTGTGTCTCATCTTCCCAGCTGGACCAAGAGTTTTTTCATGCTTAGAACCTGTACCTTTCACTTCAGGTGCCTGACACAATGTCAATTTAAAAACGGAATGAAACAAGTGACAAAAGAGGCCCTGCCCTTTTTGCATATATATATATATATGACACACACACAAAACCTGCACATTAGTTTTTCATATTTTATATAAGGGGTTATACATTATAAGGAATTTTTAACTTGGAGTCCACGGATAACCTTCAAGAAATTCATGAACATTCTGAAATTATGAACAAATCTGAATAAAAATACAATTTTCCCCCCTGGAAAAAGGATCTATAGTTCTCATCATATTCTAAAGGTTCTGTGACCCTGAAGTATGGTTCAGATTTACAACATCTATGCGGTACTAATGACAGCATATATAATTAATTTTGGCTTACAGAAAGAAGGATAAAGCTAAAATAAGTGGGTCACAAAGCAGTGAATTTTTAATTAAAGTAACATAAATTGAGTCCTATTCAGAGGGAAAACAAAGCCATGATGTTAATTATGGTACAGCAATCAGTCTACTGAAGAGTCACTATTTAATAATGAGAATGAGGAATGGGGGATGGGGGTGTGAAAAGATGGATTACAATCACAAAAAACAAAAACAGAAGTACTTAAAAAAAAAAAAAAAAGGGAATTCTAGGTGGCACATTGTGGCTCATGCCTGTAATCCCAGCACTTTGGGAGACTGAAACAGCTGGATCACTTGAGTTCAGGAGTTTGAGACCAGCCTGGGCAACATGGTGAAACCCTGTCTCTATCAAAAATGCAAACAATTAGCCAGGAGTGGTGCTATGCGCCTGGGGCCTCAGCTACTTGGGGGGTTGGGGGGCTAAGGTGGGAGGATCACTTGAGCCTAGGAAGTGGAGGATGCAGTGAGCCAAGATCGCACCATTGCACTCCAGCCTGGGCAACACAGTGAGATCCCATCTCGAAAAAATAAAACAATGAAAATTAAAAAGGTAACTGTAGATGCAGTTGGTTGTCTTTAAACCAAAACTGTAGGAATATAAGCATTTCTCTATACTGGTTTCCTATGGACCACTCTAGATATTAACTCATCAAGTTTATTTATGTTGTTTCATTCCAGAATAGATAAGAAGTTGGATAGTCCAGCCCTTAGTCTTTAATCAAATATGAAGAAATAACTTGTGAATATGTAATGAGTTCATATTCTCATCTTGGATACAGCACTCATCAAGTACCTCTAGTGAAATATACTTTGTTAATAATCTAGGTGATTTACTGGATGCTCAAGAATTCTCAATGTCAGAAATTTCACTGAATTCAAGAACACTTCCCCAAAATTTTAAGGAGACTTTTTAAGTTTACAAATCAGAAACTTTATTCCCTTAATTATCAATATCACCCAAATGAATGGGTAGGATACCCTTCTCAATTTGAGAATGTTCTGAGGGAGACTGCAGTACTAACTAACATGCTTACTTTATTTTTACCTTTAGGAAAACAATTATGAAAAATACTTCTCGTCATCTAATAGTACATTAATATTTTCCTTGTTTTAGTAAGTAACCTCAAGAAAGTAACAGCAGCTTCCAGGAGGAAAAAAGTTAATTAATGCTTTCAGGTGTGAACAAAGAACACTGGCATTTTGGTGTCTAGTCACTTGGTCCAAACATGGGGAAAGGCGGAATTTTTAACTGGGGAGTATTAATACTTTCAGAGAAAGTTTATAAAGGTTAAAATATTTATCTCGAACTTACCAGGTGTACTTGTTGAAGAGGCCTTAGAAGTTACAGGCTCTGAATCTTCCTAAATGTACAGATACATATTAATATCACATCTACCAGTCCCCTGCTGCTATATACATTTAGTGTTTTACACGTGTACTTCTAATATTCTTTCTGCCACTCCCCACTTTCTCTTTCATTGGTCTTCTCTCCCTTTCATTTCAGCTTAGACTTCTTTCTTCTCCTGTTTTCAATCACCTCCCCTTCAATCCTCCCCACAGTTCCTTTCCTCATGTGTTCTCCCTGAGAACTTTCACTAGCCGATGCTACAAAGCCAGACACAAGAGACAGATTTGAGGAATGGTATCAAAGGCAGCCAAATGGAGCAAGGGAAACATATAATTTGTTGCACACCAATATATAGCATAGACAAAGCAGAGTGTGCCCAGCTGAATCAGGGAGGAGGGCATGAAGGATACACTCTTAAGGGGCACAGCCAATAACCATCGAGCTCCTAGGGGAAACATACGAATTTAGGCTAATTCCTTCCTTTTAAATTAATGCAAGGGAAATAAAATGTCATTCACTCATTTAAGGAACAGAATTAAACTCCACAGGTTTGAACTTCAATGCTTTTCCCACAACTCCAAATACTCAACTCATTTTACTAAGACTGCCATTTAAAATTTATAAATAACAGTCAAAACAAGCCACTTCACATGCATAAATAGTTAAAAATTAGCAAATATAAGTTCAAGCTAATTAAGTTCAAATTAAATAAATGCTGACACTATTTCCTGAATGGGCTGTGCTTGAATACCATATTTTAAGATAGACTATCTTTATTAACTTACACCTTTGTCCTCTTTCTGTTCTGTTTCTACTGTTGATCCCTTTTCAGCAATTCTTCTCCTACAAAGAAGGCAAATCCAGTTTTTAAAAATATTATCTGATTCAGTATAAAAACCACTTCTCTATGAGGAAAGAAGTGCATCTAGTTAGTTGTATTCGGAATAAAATTAAAATCCTCTCAATTCTGGGCATGTCCATTATAATGAAATTCCTTACCTCCTGGCCAGCAGGGCACTCATTTCTTCCATTAAACCACTACCCCCTAAAGGAAGGGGTCCATTTCCACGGCCTGTATCTGCTTTAGATGAGGCCGAGTTCACACCAATAGCATTCCCTCCACTTGGGAAAGAGGCATCCTCCATCTTAATGAGAATACACAGACAAAATCAACTCCTATGTTAGACAACCATATTTTTATTAATATATTACATCTAAAACAGAAGGAAACATCAGCATTAATTTTTAAAAACCTAAATATTATTTGTAAGCTTTAAGAACCAATAGATTCTTAGCATTGATTTTATATACCAACAAGAGTTTATCAAAACTACTATCAACAAGAATGCAATGAAACAGTATCATGTGTCTCTTCCTGTGTGGCCCTGAGAAGGGCATAACTTTGCTTTGATAATATTCCTGCTAAAACAACCTCTGCATAACTTGAATCTAATCTTGAGGAAAAATCAGATAAGCCAAACTGAAGGATACCAGGCAAAATAACTGCCTACAGTCTTCAAAAATGCTAGTATTGTGAAAGATTGAGGAATTATCATAAAGTAGATCAAAGAGACATTAGAACTAAATGCAATAATGATCTTGCACTATGAAAAAAACTGTCACTAAAGATGTCATTGGACTATAGATGAAATTTGAATATTAATACATTTGTAGATTACAGTATTCTATCAATGTTAACTTTCCTGAATTTGATAATTATATTACTGGTTATGCAGGTAAATGTCTTTGTTCTTATAAAATTCACACTGAGGTACTTAGGAAAATAGAAGCTTGTGTCTCTGAGTTACTCTCAAATCATTCAAACAAAAGTGCATGTGTAGGCCAGGTGCGATGGCTCACAACTGTAATCCCAGCATTTTGGGAGGCTGAGGCGGGTGGATCACCTGAGGTCAGGATTTCAAGACCAGCCTGGTCAACATCACCAAACCCTATCTCTACTAAGAATACAAAAATTAGCTGGGCATGGTGGTTGGCACCTGTAATCCCAGCTACTCAGGAGGCTGAGGCAGAATCGCTTGAACCTGGGAGGTGGAGATTGCAGTGAGCTGAGATCGTGCCACTGCACTCCAGTCTGGATAACAAGAGTGAAACTCTGTCTCAAAAGAAAGAAAAAAAAATGCATGTGTAAAGAAGGAAACATACCCGAAGAAGGAATAAAAAAGCAAATACTGGTAAAATGTTAATGGGTGAACCTACGTGATTAATTTATAGAAATTATACTATTTTTACAACTATACTATAAAAATTTTAATTATATCAATTCTTAATTTTTTATTTATTTTATTTTTTGAAATGAAGTCTCACTCTGTCACCCAGGCTGGAGTGCAGTGGCACGATCTCGGTTCACTGCAACCTCTACCTCCTGGGTTCCAGTGATTCTCCTGCCTCAGCCTCCTGAACAGCTGGGATTATAGGCACATGTCACGCACCTGGCTAAGTTTTGTATTTTTAGTGAGATAGGGTTTCAACCATGTTGGCCAGCCTGGTCTCTAACTCCTGACCTCAGGTGATCCACCCACCTCAGCCTCTGAAAATGCAGGGATTATACAGGTGTAAGCCATTGCACCCAGTTAAATTATTTCAATTTGTTAAAAAAATGAGGTTCGTAACAGTTATAAAATTAGAATACAATAAATTCAACATTTTAGATATTTAGGAAGAATAAGACATATTAAAAAAAAAAATTCAGAAAGCTACTTACCCGTGACACTTTCCTAAGTTTTGCTCCAGCAATTGCAGCTGCAAGTCCAGTTAAAGGGCGATTGTCTTCTGACACAGATGCCAAAAAGAATCCAGATGCAGGGAGGGGTGGGGCAGGAGGTGGTGGAGGAGGAGGGGGTACTTGATTAGGGAGAGGAGGGGGAGGAGGGGGCGGTGGAGGCCCAGTGGATGGGAGTGGAGGAGGTGGAGGGGGCCCTGGGGGAGGAGGGAGTGCTACTGAAGCCTGTGCAGGCCCTGGTGGGAGTGGTGGAGGAGGCGGAGGTGCAAGTGGTCCCAAGACAATGCCTGAGAGAGAGAAATGTTAATTAAGACCATCAACAATAGAGCTGAGTGATATTATTTTATGTGGGAAGGTACGCAGAATGCCATGCTAAATTACACTGACTCATGTATTTACTTAATGAGTTCAATTTATCATACTTGTAAAATTCCAGTCAGTTTTGAAAGATACTGAAATGTAAGGTCCAAGTATATATAACTACTTACTTTATGTTAGAGCTTTAGTAATAGAACTATGCAACAGATCATCTAATTAAGATTTTTTGTTCATGGGGATTTGGTAAATAAGCAAAATAAATACTTATAAAATTTGGAAGAGAGGTAAGCATCCCTGAAAACACTAACTAGTATATACAATAGCAGTTAGTACTACTTGAAATAACAGACCCAAAATAATCCACATTAACCTTAAGTGTTGAGACAGTAAATTCAGTAACAGTGAACACATATATTTAGTTGTTTACAGTCAAAGTGGCTGAATTAAAAACATGAAGGAGGAGTAAGTCCCAGGCTTCAGTATTTTAAAAATACTTAACATTTAAATTCAATGGATAGCCAAGGTTAAGATTCACTGAAGTAAAGGAATTTACTAGTACAAAGTAAAACCTCAAAATAACGCTCGGAAATAAATACCATAGGATTTGAAGCAGAGCTGTTTTATCCCACAAAATGGGGGCCAAGAAGAGAAATATTCAAATGTTATAAAATCACAAAAGGAGTGAACAAAAATTTATTTAATAACAGAATACTGAAATAGTAGATGCTTCTTTAGTTAAGGTTTAAGAGGGGTGTTTTCAGAATGAATAAAATGCTATTTTGCACACTGGGTGATAATTGCTAACTTTTTCAGCTTGAGCCGTTACACAAGCAGAAAACATAAATTGTTGAAAGAAGCATCTAGAAATAGTCTGTCCCTTCTGTAGGGGTTGTTAAGAGTTCTGAGGGTACAGCAGGTCACTTTGTCAGGCTGGCTGTGCCCACTTTTTGTCACGGTGAAACCAAACTGAACATCTTAGAATTCTGACTAACCTTGTAAACAAATTTGATAAGTCAACAATTACCCCTTCAAGCCACTACTTATTGTAATTTTGGACCTTGGAACTCTTTAGGGCATATGCCAAGCCTGCCATCCTCTCTACTCCTCCTGCAAAGTCATAATGTTGCAAGGGTTAGGGTGACACCTATCCTGAAAGTCCAACATGGAGCATCTAATATAGGAAAGGCAAGAAGGAAACAGGGCCCAAGATCAGAACTGCTCCAAAGGAAACTCTGGGATGATGTACCTAACGACTACAGTTGGGCACTAAATATATATCTCTAAGTGTCCCAGAAAATAAAGGAAAAAAATTTTGATCATGTATTTATTGTGTGGTAGATCAATGTGTCAAGCAAAGTTTTCCCAGTGAAAGAATGTATTGGCTGGGTGCGGTGGCTCACACCCATAATGCCAGCAACTTTGGGAGGCCAAAGGGGGCATATCACATGAGGTCAGGAGTTCAAGACCAGCCTGGCCAACATGACAAAACCCTGTCTCTACTAAAAATACAAAAATCACCTGGGCGTGGTGGCATGTGCCTGTAACCCCAGCTACTCAGTTGGCTGAGGCAGGAGAATTGCTGCAACCCAGGAGGCAGAGGTTGCAGTGAGCTGAGATCATGCCACTCTACCCCAGCCTGGGCAACACAAGACTGTGTCTCAAAGAAAAAAAAAAAAGAATAGAAAAAAGAAAAAAATAAAGAAATGTATTATGAGGGCTCTTAAAATACCAGAAAACATCTTTAACTGTGATACTATAAAAGATATCAAAACCTAATTCAATATGGAAGTTCATCCAAATGCAATTAATCCAACAGGAAAAACATTTTTCTACTTTAATTTTTTTAATAAAAAAAAAAACAACATGGCATTGGCATATAAATGTTCAAGGATCAAAACCATCCTACCCATCCATTCAGGTAATTAAAGTTGCTGCTATATAACATTTTCAAGTGATTAGCTGTTAGTAGCAATAACGAAAGCCTTACCCTGTTGGGCTGGAGTCTCGGCCGGCTGAGAGGCTGCCTGCAAGCCTGGCTCAGAAGCAGAAGAGTCTCCCAGCACAGAGTTTAGAGGAGTCTCAACAGAGGCAGGGGCAGCTGCAGAGGGAGAAGGGAGAACACTAGGCTTGGATGAGGGAGTTGAGGCAATAGGGGTGCTTGGAGGAGGAGAAGCTTGAGATCCACAGTGTGAGAGTGAAGCGAGGGAAGGCAGTGGAGGCGGCGGCGGAGGAGCTGCTGGCCCTGAGGTAGGCGGTGGAGACACTGGATATGTTACAGAGTCAACCAGCCCATTGGGTGCTGTCGGTGATGGAGGTATTTGGGGCACAGGAGAAGAAACACAAACAGGGAGGACAGGCCTTGGACCAGTAGCTTTGCCTGGGGGGCTGCTAATCATTATTGGAGGAGATGGAGGGAGGGGCGAAAAATTGGAAGTAGACCAGGCACAGGGCTTCGTAGCTGGAGGCTGAGAAGAGGGTGTGTTCACAGGAGAAGAAGGTCGAGAGTTTTTGTTCAGAGGACGAGGAACTGTAGCGTAATGGGGAAGAACAGGGTGGAAGGCTGAACCTAAAGATGTTGCAAAACGTGTCGCTGAGTGTCGCAGTGGTGGTGTAGGGGGTGTGGAAGTAGGTGGCAAAGCAGTCACTACAGCATAATCAGGAGTGGCATCTGACACTGGAGCTGAGATGACTTTAGCGTATGATGGAGGAGGTGCTGAAGGAGGCTGGCAACTGGAATACTCAGGAAGTGGAGCGTTATACAGGGAGCTGTCTGAAGATGGAGCTGGACAGAAGGTGGAAAGCAGCAGCAAAAGACAGGATAAAAAAGGAGAGAGAAAAAGGGAGCTAGTGAAGCCACAAAACCAGCATTCAGACACAATGTATAAATGTAGACTACAGTTAGTATCAGAGAATTAGGCACAAATGCAAATAACTATTTTCACCCAAGAGTATTTTAACTTGTAAATACATTTTGAGATTCAGAAGGGGATGAAATAAGTTTCCTTTTTATCTAATAAGTGGATTAACAAATTTAATTGACTAATTTCTTTTACAAGAAAAAGCTAGTATTAGTCTTAATTTTTATTTAGACAAGAAAAAGGACATTAAAATCACAATAGGACCATAAACAGAAGAATAAATTTAGTGTTTTTTAAAAAAACAACAAATAGCAAAACTAGTAAAGTTGGTAAAACATTTAATATGAAGGGTGAGAAACCTCCTACTACTCAATGCTTACTTGTGGAAAAGTTTTGTTTTGTTGGTCATAACTCCAGAAAATAATTAGGTAGCTAAAAATACATAAATTAACTTAATAAACCAACCAACCAACCAACCACTATTTAATCAAACCACACTGAGAGTTTTTATATAGGCCATAAGGAGTATTCTTAAATCCTATAATGAATGTTAATTTTAATAAATGTTAAAATATCTCAAACTTTCAGCCATATATTAACCCTTATGTCTTTCAGTAAATTCCATCAGATTTCATAATTTTCACTAATTTTTCATAATACTAGAAAGTATATTTAAATAACTAGTCAGTTTTAGAGAATATTTCTCTAAAATAATTCTTCCTCCAAAATCTTTAGAATGTAACCAAGCAAATTTCTTGCTGAATGGTACTATAGTACTATAGTATTTGAGACAATTTAAGTGATCTCATGAGGGAAATATATTTGAAGTTCATCCAGTATAAAAAATTTCCCATAAAAACACACTTACACTTTATAGCCAATTTATAGGGAGTCAGAAGAATTAGAATGGCAGAATAAAAATTTCCAAGAGCTTTCTTTAAGTCTCCAAGCAATAAAAGCAATACAGAGAGAAATAAAAAGAAAATGTTAAAGTAGTAATTGCTGCATATTTTTCATAATTTCAAATTGTATGGCTTAATCCCAAACATCTCAAATGTGAAATATTTTAACACATGACTGCACAAGAGACATCATCCAAGCTCAGATACAAGAACACAGAAGAGTTTGTAAACTTCTTACCAGCACTTGATATTCTGCGCTCTCTCTCCCATTCCAGCTGTTCCCTTTCTAACTGTTCTTGTCGCTCCCTTTCTTGCCGCTCCCGTTCCAGTCTCTCCAACCTCTCTCGTTCTTGTCTTTCTTGCCTCTCCCGATCTAGGCGTTCCTGCCGCTCCAGGCGTTCCTGCCGTTCCCGTTCTTGTCTCTCTCTCTCCAGCTGTTCTTGTTCCAGTCGCTCCCTCTCCAGCCTTTCCCTTTCTAACCTCTCTCTCTCCAACCTTTCTCTTTCCATTCTTTCTCGCTCCAGCCTTTCCCGCTCCAGCTCCTTTTGCCGTTGCTGTTCTTGCAGTTGTCTGGAAAAAAAAAAAAAAGGTAAAAACATGCATCTACAGCTACTCATCATGAAAAAGTGATTCTTTTCACCTATGTAAACTTTATTTCTGAGTCAAATAAAAGCAATGTAGAGCATGCAAACATCTCTCCTCCCACATGAAGACTATCTTGGATAGAGACTGTTGCATACAAATAAAAATCATTTCTCCTATTAGCATCATACTGGCTGAATGCTTCAGCACATTACACTAACATTTCATTTTATTCTGTACTTTTCATGAGTACTGTTGCAAGTAAATTAATTTTCCAAATAACATACCACTTTAATAACCAAGTCATTATTTTAATTATTTAATGAAAAACTTTGTAAAATTGTAATATCCTTCTTAACATCAAATTTAACTGTACAAATAATAATTATCATTTCAGAAAATACAATGGTTGGCCACAGCAGTAGCTCAATAAATATTTACTGAATGGGTCGGGTGCGGTGACTCACACCTCTAATCCCAGCACTTTGGGAGGCTGAGACGGGTGGATGACCTGAGGTCAGGAGTTCAAGATCAGGATGTCCTGGCCAATATGGGGAAACCCCATCTCTACCAAAAATATAAAAAATTAGCCAGGCGTGGTGGCGTGCACCTATAATCCCAGCTACTTGGGAGGCTGAGGTAGAAGAATCGCTTGAACCTAGGAGGCAGAGGCTGCAGTGAGCTGAGATTGTGCCACTGCACTCCCGCCTGGGTGACAGAGTGAGACTCCATCTCAAAAAAAATAAAATAAAGTTTACTGAATGAAAAAGAGTCAAGAAAGAAGAAATAAACTTTAAATGATTAAAATCTCATATCCAGAGGCAACTATCATCAACATATGTATATAAAGATACACACGTCTATATATACACATATACATACACACACACACACATACCCTCCCCCGATAGACTTTCCCTCGTGAAAAAATACACACATAAACTTTAAAAACGTAATAAAATGTGATCATTTCCCGCTACTGTGAAATCTGCTTTCCTTTCTCTCACTTAATATATTGTGAAAGTTGGTCTGGGTGAAGTGGCTCAGGCCAGTAATCCTAGCACTTTGGGAGGCTGAGGTGGGAGGACTGTTTGAGGCCAAGAGTTCAAGATGGGCCTGGGCAATGAAGCAAGACCCATCTCTACAAAAAAATTTAAAATCAGACAGGCATGGTGGCATGCACCTGTGTTCCCAGCTACTTGGGAAGCTGAGGGAGAAGGATTGCTTGGGCCTAGGAGTCTGAGGCTATAGTAAGCTAAGATTGCATCACCACTCATCAGCCCCAGGCAACAGAATGAGACCTTGTCTCAAAAAACAATGAAAGAAAAGGAGGAAGGGAAGAAGGAAAAAAAGAAGGGAAGGAAGGAAGGAGACATAAGCTAGTAAAATTGAGGCTATCTAGGATGAGGACGTGCCTGTGTGTACAACTCTTGACTGGAATCTCACTCACACTCACACACACACACACACACACACACACACACACAGAGAGAGAGAGAGAGAGATCCTAAGGCACTTAGTTCAGCATCTTTATTTGCCATGAGTGCATAATAATATTCGATTGTTTAGCTGTCCAGAGTCTAAGCAATCTCCTACAGTAGGATATTAAGTTATCCTAACACTACTGGCAATACTGCAACAACATCTGTCTTCATCTTTGAATCTTTTTCTGTTTCTATAGGATCATTAAGGACACAAATTTTGCTAGGTGAAAAGGTATGAATTTAAGATTTTTGACACATGGTTCCAAATTGTCTTTAGGAAAAGTGTCTATTAACTTTCCCTAAAAAAAAGTTATCTTTGCCAGGCATGGTGGCTCATGCCTATAATCCCAGCACTTTGGGAGGCCGAGGCCAGCGGATCACCTGAGGTCAGGAGTTCGAGACTAGCCTGGCCAACATGGTGGAACTCTGTCTCTACTAAAATTACAAAAATTAGCCAGGCCTGGTGGTATGTGCCTGTAATCCCAGCTACTTGGGAGGCTGAGGCAGGAGGATCACTTGAACCCTGGGGATGGAGGTGGCTGTGACAGTGTCAAGAGCTAACAGTGTGCCCCTGTACCCCAGCCTGGGTGACAGAGTAAGACCCTGTCTCCCCTCACCCCCAAAAAGGTATCTTCATCTTACACATATATATTTCATAGCACTGTGGGGAAGATTAAATGAATACCTAAAAAGCTCTTTAAGTACTTGGAACATAAGAACGCTCAATGTGGGCTACAACAATAATTATTATTTGGAAATTTCAAATTGGGACTTTCTGGACTGGCTAAGAAACTGTGTGGGTTCTAGTTAGAGACAGAGCTAAATGACAGCACATACATGCTATCCTTTGTTCCTTCCAGAGGTACCAACACACCAGTAAGATCTTTCCAAAAAGCTCTCTCCTTCATGTTTCCTAAGCTGGCTACAGAACAAAAGAAAAGGCCCATTTGACAAATGCATCAACCCCACTGCTCTCACAAAACACAGAGCCTCTCCTGGACATACCACCACACTTAACAATGACTGCAAGAGAAAAACACAGGAAACTGAGTTTATGAGTAGTTATGTATTTATGAGTAGTTGTTTGAGATATTGGCTACCAATAAAATGAGATTTTCAGGATCTAGTACTGACTTCATTATGCTATTTGATAAATCACTAGCTGCCAAAGTTTTTGAGGGATAACAATATTCCTGCAGGGGATGAGGGGAAGAAATCAGATGTATTCAAAAGAATGTTTTTAATAATAAACAGAGAAAAGTCAGGGTTGGTTGTTGTTGTTTTTCCAGTAACCTGCAGCTAATAAACTCAGCTGGAGCTTGTATTAAATTTCAAACATTCGACACGTATCAAAAACGATTGGCCATTTTAAATATAATGCTCTAAGCAATCTGTTGGGTCCAAAGGGCAAAAGATGTACATGTATTATTCTAATTAGAACAAATTTAAATAAAGAAGCTAAAGAAAAATAAGAGCACAGTAGCTGTCCCAAGAAATCTATGATGAAAAAATCTAAGATTTAGATCTTTGAACATTTGTTACTTCTTCTATTTTACCAAAATAACACAAATACATAGTTTTTAAAATTTATAACAAAAATCAGTAGTTCACTGCCCCAACCCTCCCACCCATTTCCTACTTTTGTAGCTGTTTCTTACATTTTAGCTTTCGCTATCTACTTTCTAACAGGAAGAGGCCTTCTACAACTCCCTCACTACACTCATGCTTCTCCCAGTATGGAAAATCAATATTTAGGGCTTATTAACATGATAATGTAAATACTGCTCCCAGCTGAACCAAACAGTAGTCTATGACTACATTTCATTTCTCATTCAAGTTCTTAGTTGTAGGTTTTAACTACCAAGTTAATGGCTGTTTCTCTAAGCAACACAATGCTTTCAACACATACAAAAAGTAAGCTTAAGTCACAGGCAGAAGGCCAGGCATGAGTGAGATGAATCTGAAAGAATTATTGAATAACAGTGTTTCCAGCTAGGGTGTATTGACTTAAGAAGTTTGTTCCACATGTCATCATATTCCAGGGTTTTCAGGCTATAAAAGATAAGGAGTGTCTACTGATACAGGAAAAGGGCACAATGCTAGAGAATATTTCTAAGTTCACAGACAGATGATTCAAGCAGGCAATTCACATAGCTGCAGGAGATTCTTACTATTTTCTTGTTCTGAAGGTAAGAAAAGAAAGTGTTGAACACTTTAAGCTAATTTTTAGCCTGCTTGCTGAAAAGATGCCCATCTAAATGGATTTCCCAAAATAGTGATTCAAGCAGAATATCTCTGGCTTCCGAATCTTGTGTGGCATGAATAATTCCCACCTAAATTGGATGGTTTATAAATTTGACTCTCATGTTTTGACCTCTAAAGCAAGACATTTGTGTAGCTTTCTAGGAGGAGTTTCCAAATTTATAAACTTTGCTTTTCCTCAGAATTATTGCTGCCAATTCACACACTGGAAATGCTCATGGCTCCTCTTCCTAGAGTCCTCTCTCCAACTGTTTTCTTCAGTCATTAATAGAATCGTCTGAGGACTTTTTTCAAAGAACGAGTGCCTTAATTCTGAACCAAGGAAAAATCCTGACAGACTACTTTAATTTTTCTTTTAAGCTAGGCCTGTATATTCTACAATTTGAAAGTTTCTGAGAATACAAATTTTATTCAGAAACAATTATAGTGCAAATGACCAGTATTATTTTTAAGCATTTAAAAAATATCACAGTTCCTCCCACCACCCAAATACCTATTTCTCTCCAAAACAGCTATCCCCAAATGTAAATAGATGCACAAAGCACCAGCCCACACTGAGATTTAAATATATATTCATTATTTCGTTTATGTTGACTCAAAGACATTTCTTGAAATAAGTAAAATGCAAGTAATATCAGTTCAAAATACATTTCACCTAGCTTTACCTGTAATGAATAGTGTTACTAGGTAAATAAGAGTGATTTCAATTTTAACAAAATGAAGTAGGAACAGTCTAGGAAAAATGTTCTGAGTTGTTAACATTTAGTAACACTGTTATTATTGACATTTCTCAGAAAATAAAATTACACAGATATGGTTTGATTGTATAACATGGGCATTTCACTTCACTATCAGTAAACAAATAAAAAATGGATAAAATGTAATCAGATAGCTAAGTTTTAAAATTACAAAGCTGCTGAGGCAAGAGCTGATACTCACAAGAGAAGGCGGTCAACTTTCGGTCCATCCTGCCTCTGAAGGCCAATAGGAGGGCTATACACTCTCATTGCTCCCACTGCTCAGTTCTGTGCCACAATTATTATTCCCCTTTTATAACTTTCAGGTAGTACTGGTGATTTGTGAACTATTTATAGATATTAACTATATTAAGGTTCTATGTGGAGACTAACATAGGACTGACTCATGTTTCTTAGAATATGTTTTCTCATCATGGCCAAGTCAAATATTAATTATATGAGCAGGAACCAAAAACTATTTAATAATGATATAATAATAAAGGGT